GTTATGCCAAAACTCAATAATTGGTACTACGCAATCCAAAGTTGGATGTGTTCTATACACATCCAGTATAATATAATTTTATTTAATAACATAATAAAGTAACGGCCAAGGGAAATTGCTCCGTCATCTCTAATCCTATATTCAACTACTTTCAAATCTATTTTGATATAATTTCAAACTGTTGTATGAATTAAACTTACAATAATATTTCTTTAAAATGTTGTACAATAAAGTCAGGAATCCCATTAAATGTGACAAGCAAAAACTTCGCTCGTTGCTATGATGTGTGGCCTGCGTCTACGCACATTGTTTGGTAATCCTTGCGGGCTTGCGCAAAAAATGTGGGAAATATAATGTTGCAGTTTAGGGATGGGATAGTTTATCGATGGTGTGTATTTATGAAGTTATTATTTTGTAATCAAAGATATTGTAATTAAAATCCTTGTTTTCACATGAAGCTGTTATATGCAGTTCGCTGTCAATCGACTGAAAATGAAGTAATTGAGAGAGACATACCCGCTTACGGTTAGCAGTGGATGTCTGGTGACTGATATGATGAAGACGATCATATTGATATCGCTAGTATTTTATAGTTTATATTTTCATATTTTGTTTAATTTGTAGACAGATCCAACTTTTAGAAAACATACAATTTGACCTAGTTTCGCACTGAAAATGTTAAACATTTTGTAAAAGATTAAAAATCTTTTACCATAATTATTTCACTAAGGCTCTGAGAAGTACTTATAAAATTACCAACGATTGACACTTTGACATAATTATGTTCAAAAACATGAATATTTTCAGTACACCAACGTTGAAAAAGTATCGATATAAGCTTATGTCAATCCCTATCGAACCCACATTCGGCTGACAGAATAATGACGTGCCTACCTCCGCCTTCCATTCAGAAACCACGTCGACAATAGCACAGCAAATAGGCATTATTATCGTTGCAAGGGCCCACTCTATTAATACTATAGAAAATGGACGACGCGATTATTGAAGTTTCGCGTCGATATTGAACTAGAGTGGGACTGTTCTGCGACAATTTTCTTAGAAATTATTGAGCAACTTTCTATAAGGGTTTTAGGAAGACGTGCTGCATGTTATTATGTAGCGGATTAGGAATTGTACCGTTCCTTTTAATTTAGAACATTCAACTGGTATAAGTTTGTTCAGAAACTTGGTCAGGTATAGTACAATTGCCAAATACAACAATTTTACCTATATAATTCAAGTATATCACCCAGGCTGTACAAACATACAGCGCACGATAGGTATTCACTCTAATTACAGTTGGAAATTATATTTAACTTAAGTTACTTTTCGGAATTTATTGTTCACACAGATGGTCAATTCCATATCATCGAAATATCGAAATTTTGAGACAGTGCAGAAAGTCTCTAAATCCGGTTTTCGTGCCTAAAATTGTAGACAAAACCTACAACACAATTGCTCTTTCGGTCACCGTTTGGCAAAACGCAGCAAAAAATAACCCTAAAATAAACGCCCATTATTTCCCGTCACTGGATCCACAAAACATTTTTCATACAATTGTGCAATGATCACAACAGACTATAAATAAAACACGCCCACTTTGTACAATACTGTGGTCCACGTGAATGTTCGGATTTTAATCTGTTTTATCAAAATTTTGAACGCACAGAGACAAAAGCTATCGGCCGATATAGAATTTGATGATAAAACCTGTGTTTTCAATAGAAAAAAGGTTGGCGTGTGTAGCTTTTTTTACTTTGTAGAATAGGATTTACTTAGTTAACAATTTGTAAGGTTCTGATTTATATAGGTGGGGCACGTGACTTGATGCAGCATCTGCCTTATGAAGATTAATAACAACTGGGTCCTCTTAAATATTATCGTGGCAATAAAGTTGACCTTGAAATTTTTGCTTTAGTTCCCAGTAACATTTACATGTTTACAATACCTAAACCGTCTCTTTATTATAATACTATTTGTCCTCTAGACTCTAGATTAGTTTGAATTCTGCA